GCCAACCACAGTTCAAAGATTAAAATTGTGTTTAAGCATAAATTTCCCTTTTTTTTTTGGGTGGGGTGGGGATGAAGAAATGTCAAACACTTGAGACAGTGTTTCACCATAATTTCCTAACACTAAAGTTGGTCAAAAATACTTTGGACATTGTGCATCATATTTTCCAATCTCTTCCTGGTGTTGGAAATCATACTGTGGTAAACCACAGTCACAATTATTGCCCTGTTTACTCTGTTGTAAGTTTACAAGTTTTATTTATGTTAATCTGTTATAGTGTACTTTCTCTGAAAAACACTCCATCTCTCTAATACCTAAATCATTGTGTGAACTCTTTCAGGTGTATTATTGTATGGTCCCCCTGGAACTGGAAAAACATTGATGGCCAGAGCTTGTGCTGCACAAACAAAGGTAACAGGTCCTCTTGGTGTTGCTGGTACAGTGGAACCCTGTTAATACGACCCCCTTCAGGCCAAGGAAAACTGGCCGTATTAATGGGGTGGTTGTGTTAAAGGGGTTCTTTAAAAATGACTGACTGAGCTTTTTTTTGGGTCAGAATAAAGTGGCCGCAATAACGAGGTGGTCGTATTAACATGGTGGTCGTAAGGTGGGGTTCCACTGTATTGGTCATTCTGTTTCTTCTTTTCTTTTTAATTTTTTGACAATATGTTTTTGTTATTCCCTGTACAGTCAACTTTTCTCAAGCTGGCAGGTCCTCAACTTGTTCAGGTAATGATTCCTTCCTTCTATTTCTCTCTTTGCTTCATCCTCTCAGTTGCTCAGTTGAATGTTTTTGTTGCCACACCTTTAATTACTCTCTACTGTGAATTTTGTTGAATGTAGATGTTTATTGGTGATGGAGCCAAGCTCGTGAGGGATGCATTTGCTCTAGCCAAGGAGAAGACCCCAGCCATTATATTTATTGATGAACTGGATGCAATTGGTACAAAGGTGAACCAACTTCTAAATATATAATACATTATTTACGGTGTCATCGGCACCAGAACACTGTATTATCATGCATTATTGAGATCAGCACTCTCCAACCTTCATCACATCAATCCTTAGACACAAAATTCCCTCAAACCAGCTTGTCCTTGCTATACTCTTGTTAGAAAAGTTTAGACTAGTGTGCGATTTGACATAACTTAACACACATAACTTTATAGTCACGAGTGTTTTACTGCAAAATACCCCACTCACAAAATTCAAACGAAATCCATTGAAATCAGAGTTATGTGCAGCCCTCTGCCTTGCCTAGACAGAATCCACCTTGTGTGTGACAGTTACCAATTATTACAAGAGTTTCTAACCTTCTGTTTCTTTTTCTTTCTCCTTCAGAGATTTGACAGTGAAAAGGCTGGAGACAGAGAGGTGATTTTAACTTTGATTGTTTGTTGTTGAAAATTTCTTGTCTTTGAATTTTAGTGCACTCATTCTTTAAGTCTGGGGAAAATGGTTTACTGTTTTGAAAGAATGGGAGAGTTTTAAATTAGGTGTTCAAAACCTTGAATCCAGTTATATGTTAAATATTAATGTAACAAGTTATACTTGTCAACTTGGACACTTAATATAATGAAAAACCTACTAAATATTGTCTAATAAATTATTAAAAAGCCTAATGAGATAAATGAAATTTCGTATCATTTGTATTTAAGGTGCAAAGAACAATGCTGGAGTTGCTTAATCAGTTAGATGGATTTAGTTCTCATCACGACATCAAGGTATACTTATCATTTAACAATCGATTCGTGCTCTAGCGTCTATCATCCAGTTATGATGCGCGCGGGAAGTTTGCAGAGCACGAAGGAAACGTAATAGTTGCTTGAGGCTCTAGTTTCTTGAGTGTTATGCACACTTCCCAAGTGCATCAGAAGTCAGTGATTCAGAGCTAACAGCATGAAGCAATAGCCCTTTGCACGTTGATCAGAACGTTTCCTATTTGCATTAGAGTGTTTCGTATATACGACATTTCAGCGTACCTTGTATGCTGAGATTGATTTATTTTGTGTTAAGCTTGATTCGGAAAACTGCTCATCATGTATTGCTGTTGCTTTTTTTTAAATTCCGTGTTCAAATAGTTGAGCGTCTAAATATGACTTTAAAGAGCATGTATTGTCAGAGGAGAATTGTTCTCCAGCTACATATGTGTTCTTTCAGATGAGCTAACTTATAAGTACATTTATTATATGGCTAGCTCCGTGAGCGGGCAAGATGAATCAAATCCTGGGCTTTGATTGGCTACCCAAGCGGGCAAGATGGAGCTATCTTGCCCGCTCGGGACTACCCGCCGCGTCCCGTAAGAAACATTTCCCCGAAAGCCATGTAATAAATTCTTCATTGACCAAACTTGTTCGGTCAAGATGGCTTGATATTGGCCTTATTCTTTTTTTTTGCGAGTTTATGGACCTCGACTTCGTCTCGGTTCATAAACACGCAAAAAAAGAACTTGGCCAATATCCAGCCATCTTGACCTCACACTTGGTCAATAACCCATACGTATTTTTTGTTTCAGGTTGTAGCTGCTACAAATCGTGTGGACATTCTTGATCCAGCATTGTTAAGATCAGGTTTGAACTCGATAATTATTAGTCTTTTTTTCGGTTTTCAATGTTTCCAGTTCCTGAAAAGTATATCCAGGGAAATCTATGATTGGAATTGTTCCCCTGAATAACAATTTTGATGATGGCCCCTGCCTATCAGTCTTGCCGCGCTCAATTCTACACCCGCCCGTAAGACGTTCGGGACTGGGCCAGAAAAAAGTCANCTGAAGTTTGGGGAAACGCACAGGCCTAAAACTTGGAGAAGTGTCTTATTTAGTTATCTTCTATAACATCGTAAGTTCATAGCTTTTTCCACTGGATGGTTTTCTATTTATTTTTTTATTGCGTGACAGTGACATTTTATTGCGTGACATTTTGGTTTTAGTTTGAGTAGTGCAGAGTTAGTGCAAGCCATCTGATCATTTGTTCCTTTCATCCCACTGATCGCTTGTTCTCTCACAGGGTATGATTGCTTTGCGTCGTGAAGCCACTGAGGTAATTCATGAAGATTACATGGACGGCATCATGGAAGTGAATGCCAAAAAGAAAGCCAACTTGATGTACTACGCTTGAAGAAGCTGTTCTCTTTGTAAATAAGCTGGACACAATAGCGACGTTTCAGTTTATTTCTGGCTAAACTGACTCACAGACTTCACGATCCATCTTTCCCTCTACTAAGATCTACGTTGGTTGTCTTGTAATGGTTGTCAAGAAAATAATTACTAGTCTTCGTTGGCGCCCTTTGAGTCGTCACGCCATCTTCGAGATCCATTGCGTGACGGCCAACGCACGCCCGCGAAGAAGACTGGTAAATGATTTTGTAGTAAGTCGTATACCTGAACGACGTTCTCGGGTTCTTTGATAAAATGCCAATAAATACTCCCTTATCCACACATGGTGGCTAATGTAACTTTTACTCCCGGCTTTTACTTTTCTGTATTAATTGTTATTGATAAAGCCCGGAAAAAAGAGTGCTGACATCTCATTTTGTGCCGTAAAGCATATCATTTTCTACACTTTGCGGTTTCTCTCTGGAAATTTTAAAACAATTGCATCGATTAGAAATCTCAATTCATAGAAAGCTACTATTAGAGAGAATGCTACTGTAATTTAATTTTGTTTTTGTTTTATTGGCTCGTATTTTGTTTTATGTTTTGTCTTGTTGCCGATTTTTGTTTGTTTGTTTGTTTGTATGTTTTTTTT